GATGGTTCCCCGCTGCTGGAGAATGGGGAGGGTGGCTTTGCAGCCCTGCCGGGCTCCCCGGGGGAAACATGAGCCACCGCGCTGCAGCCGGACACCTACAGGGATGCACCGTGGAGGGATGCAGAGCCTCCACCGGGCTCCCAAGGATCACCGTCTTCCAGGTAGGGCTGGGGAAGAAGGAAGCTCACAGCCCCCACGCAAAGGAAAACAGACGGTCTGAGGACCAGCATCTCCCCGTTGGGACAGAAAAGAGCTGCTGCCTGGATCCACAGGGCTCGTGGATCACCGTCGGGATCCACAAACCCACCTTAGAGTATCCCACCTAACCGCAGGGTGCCTTGAATGGGGGAAACCGCCCTCTGCCATGACGGGTGACCCCGCAGACCCCGCTTGCCTGCTGGGCAGGCAGTGCAGCGCTGCGGAGAGTCGGGTCTCCCCACCATGCCCGTCCTCGAGCACGGGGACCTTCCAACCACGTGCTGCAGCTGCCCCGCGACCTCCACAGGTGTCCTTTGCTCCCGGCTCCGTGGGGTTCGCATCCATCCCATGCGGACCCCATCACCCTGAAGAGCAGCAGGGTTTGAGAGCAAAGGCAGAGAGCCTTTCTCGCCCCCGAGACCCCCCCAGTCTGATGCTGGAATTGGACTGGGGGATGGGGAGAGAGGTCTCCTATCAGGGTTCTCCCGGTCCTCAGATTTGGGGAGCCGATGGAAACTCCGCCTGGGCACAAGCGTTGCCTCTCTCAAGCCTGGAAAGGGTTTTGCCTCTGTATGGGAAGAGGAGCCTCAGCTCTGGCTCTGTCTGCCCCAAAACGGGTACCGAAGCCTCAGCTGCCGCCTTGTCCCTCCTCTTCCTCTCCCCGAGCGCTGTTTGTACCAAACTCAAGCAATAAAAAGCACAAACCGGAGGAAGAGAACGGTGATGGGGTCTGTTCTCCAGGGGGGGCTGCGAAAGGGAAGAGCCTATTCGGGAGCCACTTAAAACACAGCGACACATCCTGGTGCCAGACCACCACCTCCTCTTATTTTTGACGTTCGAGGGAGTCCTGTTTTTCCTCCGCCTGTCCCCAAACCGTGTTCCCGCTCTCCACCGAGCCATCCCGGTACTGCGGGGAGCTCGGCCGCCCCGGCACCGAATGAATGCTCCTTCCGAGGGCTGGGGCTCGCCGGAGGTTTCAGACCGCTCATCCGTTTTTAATTGCGAGGGGTTTGGGTTTGGTGGCGGGGAGGCAGCCAGCGTTCCTGCCAC